GCATCACAACAAAATGCAAACCACCACAGTAACACAAACAGACAGAGAAGTAGTGCTTTCAGCTCATAGAGACCCTATGTATTGGGTTTCAGAGACTATAAATCTTGACAGTAGCAGGCAATCTCAGTTTTCTCCTGTGAATTGGTTATACCTTTTGAATGGTGGATTTTTCCATTCGCAGCTCAAACCCCATAGCAACACTAGACCTCTTCTATGGATTTTTCATGTTAAATCTTCATGATGTTCTATCATTCTTTAGCCCAATATCTCTAATACAGTTGTGTGCATAAACAGGAAACTAAAACAAAGGAGAAAATTTTTCTGAAAAATACAGTGTTTGGATTATTTGCAACCAAAATATTGCTGAAGCTACTGTGGTATTAGAGCCTCAAGAGTGAACACTTATCAATGTATATGCATTACTTGTAATTTTTTTTTTTAATTATAAAAAGCAATAACAGAGAGTGCTGGGTGCCTATCCACTTGTTTCCTTTGAATAATCATTTTTTCTTTTTCCAAAAGCTATTTCAGGCACATAGAGCCACAGAATTTCACAGACAACTCAGAATTCCTCCTTCTGGGCCTTTCTGAGGATCCAGAACTGCAACCCCTCTTCTTTGGCTTGTTCCTGTCTATATACTTGATCACAGTGTGTGGGAACCTGCTCATCATCCTGGCTGTCAGCTTTGATCCCCATCTCCACACCCCCATGTATTTCTTCCTCTCCAACCTGTCCTTCACTGACATTGCTTTCATCTCCACCACTGTCCCAAAGATGCTGGTGAATATCCAGACACAGAGCAAATCCATTGGCTATGAAGGCTGCCTGACACAAGTGTGCTTTTTTTATTTCTTTGTGTGTCTTGACAGTATGTTTCTTACAGTGATGGCTTATGATCGACTTGTGGCCATTTGTCACCCGCTTCACTACACAATTATCATGAACCTCCGACTCTGTGGTTTGTTACTTTTTGTATCATTTCTTATCAGCATTTTGAACTCCCAGTTGCACATTTTAATGGTGTCACAACTTACCTTCTGCACAGATGTGGAAGTCCCTAGTTTCTTCTGTGACCCTCTTCAACTCTTTCCCCTTGCCTGTTCTGACACCTCCACCATTAACATATTAGTTTATTGTACTGGTGTCATCTTTGGTGGTGTTCCAGTCTCTGGGATCCTTTATTCTTATATTCGAATTATTTCCTCCATTCGGAGAGTCTCATCTTCTGGTGGAAGGTATAAAGCCTTTTCCACATGTGGCTCTCACCTGTCAGTTGTGTTCTTATTTTATGGAACAGGACTCGGAGTGTATCTGAGTTCAGCTGTCTCACCTGCCAGGGAGGGTGCTGTGGCCTCAGTGGTGTACACTCTGTTTACCCCAATGCTGAACCCCTACATCTACAGTCTGAGGAACAAGGACATAAAGAAAGGACTGTGGAGGCTCGTCAAGAAAGCATTCTAATCTCAACACTTGTGTCATATTTATTGGTTCATGGGTTCAATAAGATGGCAAACCAAACATCTGCAACCTGAAATCTTGCCTTTTTGGTTCCAGAATTTTTGTAGCTATCATTTCAATGTTGGGTTTCCATAACTGAACATTGCTTCCTTTGTCACATGTTTAATGTGATACTGGGAGTATTCTGTGATATGTCAATTTGCAGGATCAAATCCGATTATAGCTATGTAGCCTTCTGTAGCTTCTCATGTATGACCCAGATTTTCTAGAAAAATGCACAGCTCTATTTTTGTGTACTTAGAATTTTCATCCTATAAGTTAAGTCATAAGGAGCTCTGGTAGCATAGTCGTTACAAGTTGGGCTGCTTACCTCAAGGTCAACAGTTAGAAACTACCAGCTGCTCCACAGGAGAAAGATGAGGCTTTCTGCTCCTGTAAAGATTTACAGCTTCAGAAACCCTGTGCAGGGTCGCTATGAGTCGGAAACAAATCCAGGGCACACTATCACCACCTCTACCATCTAAAGTATGTTTGCATGAAACAGAACTCTATATGAAGGCTAGTGTGAAAGTGCATGCCACTGCATCCCAAATCTTGACTTTAAACTAGAATCATCTGTGAATCTTGAAAGTATTGATTCTTGTTCCCACTTCTACAGATTCTGATTTGAACAACTTGTGATTTGATCATACAAGTTTTAAAGCAGCATCACAGGAGATTTTAATGTGCAACCAAGACAAAAACTTATCTTTTTAGACTTTTCTTCCTAAAAAAAAAAAACCTTGTTTTTCTGGGTATTTTACTTCTCCTGAGCAGATGTTGAGGATCTCAACGGGATCAGATCTCACCAAGGGGAAAATTGTGATATAACTTACTCTAAGAACATCAAGTGATTTCCCAATACTCTTAATGGCATTTCTTACCATGTCTTCTTCTATATTTCTTGATTTGACCATATGTTAGGTTAGCCCATTAGCAACAGAAATAGATGTTCTTCACTCTTGCAGCATCCACATAATCAATTATGGATCAGACTAGAATGATCATTAGGATTGCCACTGGATAGCTTTTGGAAGTATATTTCCAGGCCTTCATATTTGCTCATTTTTGTCTGAAATCTCTGCTAAAACCTGTTTAACATTTTAGCAATATGCAAGTGTCTACTCACAGATGGTGGATGAACATGAAATACGTTAGCAGAGAATCAAACCTGTCTTCCAAATGCAGGAGAAAATTCCATCATCAAACCTCTGCCCCAAACACTATGAAGATGTTCACATGAGCTTATTCATAAGTGATATATCTCCCTTCTCCAAATTTATCTTTCTTTTCTTTTTCAATCTGGGACCAGTGAGGGGAATATCTTTAAAGCACTGTTCTAATTCCCCATCTGGCTTTATTATTAGGTTCCTAAAATAATTATTAGTAAAGTCTACTACACGCCAATAATCTTGACATTTTGTTTAGTCTTCTTTCCTTAGCCCATGGCATGGTAGTTTCTCTCTTCAGTTATTATTCTTTGATTTCCATATTTCTCTTTTATTCTTGTTAGTCCTTGTATAATTAACTATTTTTTTACCAATTTCGTGTATTAAATGGTCTTCATGGTATATTACTTTTTTGTATTGAATCCTGACTGGTAAATTCTTTATGAAGATTGAAAGTAGTTACGGGATGTCTAAAATTGTATCATTTCAAAGCATCTACAGGAAAAAAAGCAAAAGAGATTGTAGATGTTATGTCTTGGTCAATGTTGTACAACTGAGAATTAAGTGGTAGTATCATAT